AAATATTCTGATTTCACATTATTTTGAGAATACAACAGTTCACTTGTATTAATTTCAATATTGTGTGCAATTATAATCCAGGTTGTTCATGCTAAGCTGAGTGTGTGTTTGTTTGCTAAGAACAATAATTAAATAAAGTAAAAATAATCAAATTAATAAGTAATATATAACATACATACAACACATAAAAAAAAAAATTGTGGAAGGTATTTCTGACGACAGTTGCCTCCTTCTGGTCAGTGGTTAGAAATCAAAGAAGGCATCACACTATCTGAAGTGCACAACGACAAAAATGCTGTGATGGGACTTCATAATTACAGCCTGTGCTCTGGCTGGTGCTTAAACATCCTCAAGTATGTAACCATAACACTTGATCCTGAAAGAGGTCCTGAAAATGGCAGCAAACTCACTACAGAACCCCAGTTCTTCAGAAGATCATATGAGCAGATGAATATTTCAGAACTCATAGCGAGACATTAAAAGACAACCATTCATGAAGATAATGGACCTATCCAACAACCACTGTACAGAAATAAAACCCATAAGTAACACAGCCACCTAAGCCACTGATTGAACTAAATGAATTTGTTATCTATGGAATATTAAGAAACAATCTCAAACATTAATCAATTCTTGTGATTTCTTTCACAAATACATTCACCCTCCCCAGAAAAAATAAAAAAAATCAACCACACCATGTCCTTCATGAAATACTTCAAAACACACAATTCAACACTAATTTTCATGTCTTACATAAAAACCAGATACCAATAGGCTAGAATGTTTTCTTAGGCTAAAATGTTTTCTTTTACGGACAAGTACATTCTTATTCTTGATTATGCAATAAACAACATTTCATTCATAGCCAGTTTTCTCCAAAATTCTTGTTAAATCAAAACTTAAAAATGTAAGCAAATAGTAGAAAAAAATAATAAAAAAACTCAGGAATGATATCATTTCCCTTGGATGAACCAAAACAGACCAGATATAAATCTCAAAGATTCTGAAATAAAAGTCAAAAATGGGAGCTGATGAACTTAAAAAAAGGTGCATGTTCAAATAAAGTTCATATTTTAGGCCACCAATGACCACACATCAGCGTAACTACACGTAAGACAGAAGTACCTTATAGAACTGACTTTTCTTTCCATAATGCAGTAGCACCAAACATTCAAATTGCTTGGAAAACGAGTGCCAAAAATGTTAAAATATTTTATGTGTTAGGCCTAGCAGAGTCAACTACCACTACAAAATCTCAGGTATAACTTAACAAAGTACTACACAGATCTAAAATCCCCCACCCCAACACATTTCACTTAATCAAATGTAAATCTCATAGATCAACTACATTTAAAATGAAAAAAAAAATCAATGGAATTTAACTATTTTTAAAATGAAGTACTGTGTAAGAATGAATTTTGTAATAAATTATTCCTGCCTGGTTTATTAAGTAACACTATTTTGGTTTATGCTGAGGCCTTCTTCTTACATGTTAACAAAGCACATTTATATGTTATTTCCTTCCTTAGTTTATTCTGAAATCTATGTAGAAACAATATATAAATTTCAAACTTTACATGAAGTGATTTATAGAATCAACACTCTTTTCATTGTTAGGTTTAGTAAAATGATATACTAGTTCAATAACTTATGGCTTTAGGCAATTAATAATTAATTAAAATATATTGTGAATATAACTTGTCAATGTTGACCTCACAATTCAGGAATTTTAATCTTGAAACTGAATCATCAACTTTCTCCATGTTTTTTTTTTTTAAACTAACTTTAGGATTACTCATACTCCTGTGAAAACAATATAACAATCTAGTCATCATAAACCATAATCTTAAGTGCATTTACGTAAAATAGAAACATTTATATATACTCACCCTAAACCTATTCTAATCAAGTTAAAACAATATATATACCATTAACACCGATGCTGAAATGGATGCAATGAAAGACTGCTACTGGCCTAGCCAAAATTCAACTAATTTACAGTGTGCAATAAAAGATAGAAAAGTAAAGACCAGATGCAATATAAAGGGATACTAAAAGAAAACCCGTAGATATGCATTTTGGACATTCTAAAGGTTATGCAAATGAAATACATAAATTGTAGGATAAGCAAAAGTATATTTATTTTTCATGTGAACATTACCTTGCACTCCGACTTGTCATAGTCTAAGTCAAACTGATGTTGTCAATTCACTGAGATATCTTGAATATAAATAGATTTATAACACATCTGATTTTTTGTGTACAACAGATTTGTACATTTCACTAAAAGCTTGTTACATTTTGCGTAGACACATGCAGTAAAGTTGGAATTATAGTCAATGCACATTCTGAAAGATATTTACTGTCTTGTATATGACAAACCCTACTACCATCTTTCTCGTCTATTAATTAATAATTTCAAAACATTTTAAAATAAACAGATCATACTAAAATTAAACACATATTATACTTAGACATTACTAAACTAACACATCATAATAAGCAACCCCCCCCCCTTCCTACACAACTAAAACCTCTTAACTTTTGAGACATGGGTACCCTTTAAACACTTTTCTGTGCAAGTCAGTGTTACATTCAAAATTTAATTAAACACCTTTATTATCAATGTATGTGAGTGAAAGTGGCATTACAATACATGTTATGATTCAATGTTTTAAGTCCTTTATTTCAAAAGAAACTACTTAAAACTTCAGATTTATTGTCACGTGACCCCATACAATGAAAATTCTCCACTTTATCACTCTGTATCTTCAAAAATATAATGCAGTTGTGTAGATGTATGTCAAGACAATACGACATTTACTTAACTTATTGATATGTACATTTCTAAGTTCTATGGATGAATGCAGTTGAAACAAGTAATAAGTTTCGTCAACCACCTTCAATAGATTTGTTTGAGCTTTACAGCCTACATTTAGAATTTAAATATGCATGTATATAGTCTATTGGAAAGAAATCGTCTTACACTATAATCCAGCAACTATAGCACTTGTGGTTGTTTCTTAATTAAATATGTTACAGTTAAGGATACAGATAAATTGTATTTAGATTTTACTTTTATATTTTACTAAATTATGTATTATTTATGTTTTAAAATGAATAACTGAAATGTGCAAACATTTTTTTAAATATACATTATACTGTACATCAGTTCTCAAGGCTTACTATACTACACGGTGCAAGAAAATTTTGCCATAGAGTAGTGTATCTTTGCCAGAGACACCACTGACTTGTGTCGAGATTAATAACAAATGGTAAAGAACAAGAAAGGAAAATAAAACACTAAAAATTAACTATATGTGAAAAGGAAAAGATATGAAATTATGAATATAACCAAAACAAGATCTTTAAAAGATATTCTACATAAAATTAAAAGGCATGTACTTTTTTCTATTTCCTAATTTTAATCATTTCATTGCATTGTACGTTGATGATAATAGCTAGAGTTAGTGATACGATAGAGAAAATGAGAAATAAAATATGAACGTTTACCTTGAAAACTTATGATATTCATTTAGGAGGTTCTAGAGGTAATGCAAATGAAATATTAAAACTATAAAACGAAAAAAGTATTTTTATACTTAAAATCACCTTGCACTCAAACTATTCAGAGTTTGAGTGCAAATAACTACTATAGATAAATAACATATTTTTATTAGAAAGATGTAATCAAAATAAGTCATTTTTGTGTACAAGATACTTATCATCCTTAACAAAATATTACCAGGTTTTGAGAGGATATATCAGTTACCATATGTATAGTTGCATAAATATGCTTCCCATGTCGAGGTTATGTAAAATGTGTCACCCCATTGCAAAAGGGTTAAACAAAATTTTACAAAATGATTAATTAAAGGAGCCTATGACATATAATTAAACCTGGCATATATGAATATCTCTATAAGGAGTTAAACAACATTAAAATGTTTCTAAATAAAAAATGGCTTTCCAAATAACATGATAAATGGCATTGCATGTAAGTACTAAAACAAGGTCAGCTATTTCAAACAAACAAAATTAACATACACAGGGAAACATATAGTAAACGTAAGTAAAAAAAATAAATTATGTAAACTCCTTTTCACATACGAGTAGTTTTTAAATCTGAGAATAGAATACAAAATTTCTTCAATTGTAAAGACAGAATTTCATACTTAAATACATCAAAAGTGATTCATAAATTTAAATGTCCTAGATGTAATTCTACATATATTCGTTTGACCATTAGATGATTAGAAACATGATAATGTAGCAAAAATAACAAGTCTAGTATATTTGATCACGAGCTTGACAAATATGATATTGACATACATCAGAGTACAGTTAACATTCTCACTAGAGGACAAGAATATAAAACAGACATTACCGATTAACAAACTTAAACCAGAGCTGAACACGTTTGATTGAGCAGTAATGTTACTGACATTAATATAGAAATATAGTTTAATTTTAATTTAATTTAATTTAATTTACTTCTTTGGATAACTATAATTTGATGAAAACTTATGAACCCTTAAGGTAGAAGGTTGTTTTTTTTTTATCTTACAGACCTAAAATTATCCAAACATCAAAACACAGTCTCATTCAACATTTAAATAAATATCTACATGATAAAAATATTCTGAAATGAACAAAAGGACTATCTGGTAGGAGATACGTGTAACTAAAAATCCAAAGTATTAAGCATGTAGCATAGTCAGTTCCCATTATAATTATAAACTTATTGAATTTTTTAATGCCATATAGAAAAATCTATACACTATATTAGCTGCACGAAAACTTTCCTGGTCAAAAACCTGACTTCTGAATTAATTATTGTTTTTAGATGAAAAAGACAAAATATTAATAGTGAGAATACTAAAAAACTTTTATGAAAACAAGAATTAATATTTTTACTAATAGAAAACATCCGTCCAAAAAATATTTGTAAAGGCTAACTGTTCTAAAATAACATTAGTAAATTAATGAACATTTTTTACCGGTATCTGGCACATCTGTTGGTCTCATAATACGTCTTATCTGTTCCATGGACTGCAGATCAGGAGAGAGACCTCACAAAACAAAAGAATTTTGTAAGTTTAAGTTTTATGATTACTAATGTTCTTTAGTATTTCGAACCTTAATTTAATGTGTAATCCATAAAAAAAAATTAAAATAAATTTGACAGTAAGACTGTTCATAAAACGTATTAAAACAATGAATTCAGAGTAAGTCAAAAAGTAAAATGATTTGAAATGTTCACTCATAAGGATAAATTTCATGCACACATATATTTAAAATATTTTATTTTTAGAATGAGCCAAAAGCTTTAAAAGCGTGTTCATTGTTTTTACTTCCATTCAATTACTATTTTTCTGAAAAGAAGGACCCTTAATATTGTGAATATGATGTATATACCTTGACTCAGTTGTTGTTGTACTGGAAGAAAAGCAAAGCAAAATCTTTAACACTGAGTACGTGGTTTTGTACCTTCAATAACTCAACAGTTTTTTTAATTGAAACATTTTAATAGTGTATTTTTCTGAAACTGAAACTCTATAATAATGTTCCAAGAGTTTTGTTCTCAACAGAGCTACTATTTTACTAAAATGAAATAAAACTTTAAATATTTCATGGACGAATACTCAGTTTTATTACATTGTCTTTGATTCATCTAAATTACAAACAAGTTAATTAATGACACAAAAAAAAAATCAACTATTATTAGTGTTTTGAATTATTTCAATTATCCAAATAATTATTATTTTACATTTAATTTTGGTTTGTTTGGCTTAACCACATCCACACGGGTCAAAGGCCATGTCATTGCTTTTGTTGACTTGAATTCAAAATTTTATTTAACTACTATATTATGAATTTATGTAGATTATAATTCACATTTTAGTACTATACAGTAGTTAATTTCTTAATTTAAAAGTAAATATTATAAGAACACACCTAAATATAGACTTTTCTGTATCACGTGGTATGCTGAATGCAGCACTGGTTCAAATTAGGTGCTTGTGATTTCCAAATACAAAGTCTATAATTTTGTACGAATTAGGAACTCAAATTACAGATATTGGCAAGCTAGAATATAAAATAAGAATCTCCTATCTTTTCTGTTTGCCAAGACATCAATACATATATTGACTCAAACACAGTGGCCATGCCCACCTCCTTTCATTTTTGGAAATGCTTACGTACACCTACTTCTGTCTATGACATGTGAATAACCAATCGAAAGCTCAGAATGTCCCCCTAGTGGCTTTCTCAACATTTTTGAAATATTCAAATGTCAAACTCGTTCTTTTTATACTAGATTCCAAGGAAACTTTAGTGAGCTCAAAATTTCATATTTTTTTTTATACCCAAATGCAGCTTAGTTACTAAGCTTGATAAATTATAGTGGAATTCTATAGTATTGATATAGTAATTTGTGATTTTTGGTTATTTCAAAATGTGTATATATAAAACCGAAAAAAAATTACTTCATTTCACATCCTCCACGTGTGAAATTTGATAAGGCTTAGCAACTTATGGCAAAAAAGAATCCAAAGTTCGTAGCTAGAACAGATAATTGTTTGCTACACTTCTTTATTTACTCTTCTATGTTCTAAGAAAAATAAGTTTATGGACTTATTTGTAAATAGTAATAATGTATATACATATATAATGTATTATAACTAAAATGTGACTGTATTTTACAAAATACTAGTCCACTAAACCACACCCAAGACAGATTACTTTGTAAGGCCAGTTTTATATTCTTGGATATGGTAACAAGAGTGCATATGCGCCACATCATTGCAACTTCTGTTATGTTAGCCAGGCACAGATGAAATGTCAGTGTAATAAAAATAATAAATATATATAAATTTGTAATTTTAAGAGATATAAGCTACTTAAACTAAACATTAGAGTTTTCATGTTATAATCTGTAGTCACTCTAGTACGAGAAAAGCATAATTTATATTTACTTCCTACTTTTTATAGTGGTTACAAGGTTGGCCAAATTGACTGAACCCATATAGAGATTCAATAGTGAAAATAACAGATAAAATATAGTTTTTTTTTAAGAAGCATTTGATAATTATTTGGACGTTATAAAGATTTCGTATGTGAAATTTGAAAATTTTTTGATGCATAAAAGTATTTTTAATCTTAAAATCAAAATTACTTTGTTTGTCGGATAGTCAACATGCAAAAAGAAAAAAGCATGAGAAAAACATTACTTACAAAATAATAAAACTATAAAAAAAAGGATATTTTGCATATAAAAGATACATTTACTAATGTAAAACTTATAGCATGAAAACTATAACAAACACAAAATGTTTACGAGGTCGGTCCCTGGGACTAAGCCTGTACTGAAAGAGTTAATCAATTAGTGTCAGGCCTCATGCAAAACTTAATCCACTAATTAAAATTAGTGATTATTTCTATTTTTGATTATTCCTAATATCCAAGTAATTGGAGAATTTGAGTAAGGAAGCATGTTATGATAATTGGCATTATTGTTTCTCATTATTTTTAAAATCATTAATACTTTTGCCATTGTTCATCCCTATATATATGTTTATGAATAAACTGTTACTTTTATAAATATCCTTAATATTTTGCTATAATTTTGGATAATGAAAGAATTAACCAGTGGCTTGAAAATTTACTGATCTGCACACTACTGTGCTTCAATATTATAATAATAATAATTGATACTAAATGATACTAAAACTACTCGCTGTTGTCCTCAATTTTTAATTTTAAACTGTTGACCAGAGGAAAGGCAATTAGCTGGCAATAATTACTGTCAACTCATGGTTATTCTATTATCAAAAATTAGCAGGATTGTCCATCACATTATAATGCCCCCACAACTGAAAGGATGAGCATGTTCAGCATTGGGTTTTGATCTCAGAAATCACAGATTTTGAATCTAGTACCCTAGTCACCAGGCCATGCCAGGCCCAGAAACAACATACAGTTGTTATATATTCTTAAGGTTAAGACATACTCAATCGCAAACTCAATCATGCATACTTATGCTAAAATTAACACTGAGTTATTTTTGATTCTAATGCAAAAAGTTTATACTATAGTAAATATTTTATTAATATACATGAAATCCATAACTAGTTTCTATAAAAGTATACTCTTTATAAAAGCACTTAAACATTTGAAAAAATTTACCTTTTTGTTTATTCGCACACTTAATCAGCAATTTATAAAGTTTTTTCCCACACATAAATACTTCAACTAAAACCTCTCAATAACCAAGCAGAATAAAACTAGAATGACTAACTCACCTCCATGACAACAAAATATTTTTTCATCGATGATGGCTGCTATAGGCAAACAATTGAAACAGTCTGTAAAGGTCTTCCAAAGTTTGATATTATAACGTCTTTTACCTAGAAGTTGAAATATTTTTTTAAAACCATCTACATGCGTGTTAAGAAAAAATATCTAAAAAAAAACCCTGCATTTTGTATAAGCAACGTGTTATCAGCTATACCAGAATAGCTTCAATTAAATGTATTTCATTTTTAAAATAATATTTTTGTTTCATCAAAAAAAAATGAAAACATAGCAAATCCATACATTTCTCCAACATATACAGTATTATCAATTAAAACTTTAGTTCCCTCAATGTTAAGTTTTATTAATCAAACTTATAACAGTTAAAATAACAAATTATTACAACATTCAAAAGTAATCCAAGACTTGTCATTCTACACTGGCATTCCACCTAATGTACAAGTCATTCTCTTAAGAGTATGGGCAAACTCTTTCAAATAATAATCTCATTTACAGTGGAGATACATCAGCAGAACTAAAAAAATGAAATTTCAAGCAGACTAAAGACACAACCTACCTCCTTGAAATCTTGTTTTGAAAGAACGAGATGGCATACTAACACATGTAAATGGCTGAGAAAGCCATTAGGGAGAACATTCTGAACTTTCGATTGGTTATTCACATGTCATATATACAAGTAAGTAATCTCTAAAACCTCCTAAATATATTTGTTTTCAGTAAAACTTTATATTTTGTCTGTTATTTTCTCTACCCTAACTATACAGGATCCAAAAATAGAAGGAGGTGATTGATTCAGTACATGAGCAATATCTCAGCAAATAGAAAAGATAGGAGTTTGTTATTTTATATTCTAGCTTGTTTATTGGTAAAATGAGTTCCTAATTCGTACACAAATATATACTTTGTATTTTGACATCACAAACATCTAATCTGAACCAGTGCTGCATTCAACATACCAAGCGACACACAAAAAAATCAATGTTTAAGTTTTTTAATATTTACTTTTAAATTAAGAAATTGAATAATGTATAGTACTAAAATTTGAAATATAATCAGCAGTTTGATACCAGACTTACTGACATAAATTCATAAAATAGTAGTTCTATAAAATTTTGAATGCAAGTCAACAAACACGATGACATGCGTTTGACCCATGACCCATAGCGGTAGGGTTAATTGACAACCACACATCCTAACAACAGACCTGCAACTTAGTCTCTATTGCAAAAGGTTTTATCATAAATATGTCATGTCCAAAGCATACTAGCCCTTCCTACATGCCTTCTTCAGTTCAGCTGGTGTACAAGGATGATTGTTTCCAAGTGCAACAGTTCAAACAGACAGAAATCCACTGACTTTATAATGGCCATGGTTGTTATGTAACTTGCTGATTTACATATTCATTAATCATTTTAATATAACTTACTCAACCCTCTGTATGAAACACTACTGCATGTATCACCACCTTAACTGGTGTTGTAGTATATTACAATGAATTGACAACATAAATAATTATTACAATATTAAAACACAAAGATTACTTGACACAGAAAGCTTGAAAATAAGTTGCTGATTTTAACTTTTTTTATATTTTTTAACTTGCCCTTGTTTAACAACAAAATGAAGAATTGTTAAGAATTCCGAAATACCTTTATATGTAATTAGATACTTATATACAAACAATTATACAAAAATACCAAGCTTCCCTACCTCATGGCATATGTAGGAACTGTCACGGAGAACAGTATATACAACTGGTGTAGTTCAGATTGCATAACATAACACTTGTGATGTTCTGTACAAATATACAGCTCTTGAGAAGAATGTCTCCCTTGACTAGTTTTGTCTTCTATAAATATAAAATACTGGGTCAATCATACTTGCAAATAAAAACGTGTATAGAACTCTCAGTGGTTTACCAATCATGAATTCCTACAAAACTCAGTAAATTGTAAGGGCCCCTGTTCTTATTTGAAACCTTAAGGTGGAGAAAACTGTCATAACAATGATAAAAACCTTGTTATTAGTTCAAACCTCATGGAATCTCAGATAGAAAAATGACTGAGAACATTGTAAAAAATCCAATACACCAGAAAAGACCCTCTTATTATTTTATACCTCATGGCATGAAGAATTTGAGTGAACCAAATGGAATCCCAAAGTGAGGTAGGAAAATGTTTTTTACTGGTTTTAAACCTGATGATAATGTACCAGAGAAGGAAATAAAGAAATAGTTATTACTTCAAAATTTGTGGAGTTTCAAATAGAAAATATCACATTATTAAAGGATTGTTTCATAATAAACTTTTCCTCTATAGTAAAAAATACAACTGTATGTATACATCACTTAAATAGCAAATTAGAGAACTTCTCCAGTGTATGAAACAAATATACAAGCTTTCATTCTGTATTGGGAACAAATCTTAATTATCTCTCATTTTTCCTTCATGATCATTATACCTTCCTCAATAGCTTTAAGTTCAACATATTTATCACACATAAAATAAGATACAGTCAACTATACATTCATATATGTTTAAAAATACACTGGAGCTATATCTTAATTTTTATATTTCCAATTATTTTAACCTACACTACAGACTAATTTAAATGCAAACAAGAATTTGAAAATGGGTGTCTGTGTTTCTTGTTTCAACAACTCAGCATTGATTCTTTTTCTCTCTGATGTATGATCTGGGGTAGGAACACTAAAATAACTTAAGTGATCATATACTAAGAGACTAAATTGTTTAATCCCACTGACACTGAAGTTAACAGGTAAGTTATAAAAAACGATAATGTTTCAAGCTAATTCCTTTCATTCTGATTTTTTAGAACACTTCAAATGAGCTATTTTACAATAGCTTTTATGACTACGTCAAGTATGTAGTCTAAAATACAGTTCTAGTTTATGACTATAGTACCTGAATGCTATATTTTAAGAAGTGTATTGACTTTATTATCAATAGTAACATATATCTTTTTTTAATACCTAATCTGTATTTTCAACATTAATATTACCTTGATTCAAATAATCAATCTCTATTTTCTATAATTAACTATATCTTGATTCATAAAAAAAACCTAGACTCTCTACATCAACAAATAACTAGATTTAAATAACCAACCTGTATTCTTTACATTAACACCATCATTTACATCCTCTGGTGCAGGAAAGTATGTCCCTACAGTTAACTTGTAAAGGGCCCGAAGGATCTCCTGTCTTCTTCGCAAGCTTACACACTTTCTATCTTTGAGTTTTGTTGTGTCACCCTCTATGGGTTGAACACTACAGAGGCTGCGCTGATGTTCTCTATGTATTAAAATAAACCTGTAAGAAAAGAATGAATGGAGATTATCTAAACAGTAAATATCTTGATCAGAATAGCTCAGCCTGGATTATCTACATAACATGTACCATCATTTAAACACCTCACCTGGACTATATGCAAAACAAATATATTGATTTTAACAGCTTACCTATACACACACACATAACAATTGTTATATGAATAGCAGATGAGTGAACTTTATGAAATCTTATCTAAAGCAATATAAAAACTATATATATTAAATTTTAAAAACGAGATTCAATTCTTATGACAAAACAATAGTATGACAAATTTATTCTGAATTTTGCAGTGCCATGCTAGTTTATAGTAAACTTCTATAAAATTCTGTTATTGATATTTTGCTTATTAAGAAACATCATACTGAAAATCACCTACTTTTCTACTTAATCAGCAAACAGTGTAACGATAATAATTCATTTGAATAATTTTTCTTTTCTTGAACAGCTCGAATAGCATATTTTATCCAAGAATATTAATGATTTATCTACTATGCTGTTGGAATGAAAATAATCTATTTTTTAATTCATGTAATTCCTGTCATTTGATATATCACTGAAAAGGTAGCTCATTCTACTTAACAATAAACAGAAACCTGTGTAAATGACATAAATTATTTGTATGCAAAACACACTTTTTCTAATTTGTTATAATACTGTGAATAAAGTGTACAATCTTTCCCAAGAGCATTTCCACAATGTTATTTTACTGGAATTAAAAATTCTCTGAATATTTCATATGGATAAAATCAAAGAAAATTGAAGAGTATTTTACATTACATTGTAAAACAGTTATAAAAATAGTTCTCTCTCTTACCCAAGAATATTTCTATCAATTATTATACTGCTAGGAAAATTATGTGGGTGAAGACTAGAAACAGACTTCAGAAGCTGGTAGGCTCCTTTCCATAGCTTAGAGCCCTACAATTAAAAATTAGAATTTGTTAATTAAAAGGCAATTCAAAAACTTAAAGGTAATTATGCTACAATCATAAAAGATCTTAAAAACATAGCCTCTTATACATAAAGTAAGTATTATAAAGGATTTGAAAATGTGATAAATAAGCTGTATTTTTAAACCATTATCATACTAGTATTCTTTGGAATGATGTAAGACACAAACTACTTTTGTTAAAGAGCCACTAGTTAGAAATAAAAGTAAATCTACCACTTTATTATTAAAGGATTGTTTAAATTAATAATGCCAGATGTACATGATCACAACTGTTGGATGAATTGCTTCAAATAACATCATTCTTCGATGTCCTATGTTAAAATATTGAAATATTCAATCATCTAGGTTGACCTCAGATAATAGATTTTAACACTAATAACATTCCTTTTAACTAACCTGAACATTAAAATATAATCCTCAATATTTTGCACATTGTTTTATATATAAAAAACAGCCATTGTTTCAAATTTTTAAAGAAAATTAAAAACAAGTTTGTTTGGGAACAAGATAACAGTCCAGTTATTAACGATTTTTTTAGTGAGCTTCAGAGAAACAAATGCAGGAAACTGTTCCTTACTACAGTGAACACAGCCTATGGTGATGGTAGAAAAATTAACTGGGTTGCCAAAGCAAATGATGTTATTAGAAAGAAAGCTAGTGAATAAAAAAAAAAGTAAAATATGGGGGCAAAATACTGTAAGTTAAGAAAAAAAAAATTATCATAAGAATTATATTTTTCTTATAATACTA